ATAAAGATGCATGCCTTATATTGTAAATTATGATAAGCTGCTAATGCTAATTATTTTTAGATTCTGGATCTAGAAAAGGATGTAGGCTGCTACAGATATTGTAAAAAAAGTCCAAATCAAGATAATTCAGTACAAAGCGGACATTTGTTTCTCAAACCATGTTAAAATATCATTACCTGTATTCTAATAATTGGACCATATGGTCTGAAGCGAGACACAAAAACAGAGCCTGGATTGAGTCAAAGCTCTGCCTGTGTATCTTATCGCTGTGAGAGTTGATGAACTGGATCCAGGCAGGCTGGTGCCAGCTGAACACCTCCAACATTATCCAGTCATCTCTCATGCACTCAAAGAAAGCACCAGGTTTTCCTCTGATTGCCTCTCTGAATCACATCGTAAAATGTCAGAGACAATCTGCAGCACTTCACATTGTTGTTGAGTACATGTTTCTAATGTTAATCCCGGAAAGAAAACGCATTACAGAGATGGCAAAAGTACAAACATCCTTTACTCAAGTAGAAGTACAGATACTCGTGTTTAAAAATACTCTGGTGAAAGTAGAAGTACTGACTAAACTTCTTTACTCAAGTCAAAGTAAAGAGGCTTTGAAATGTACTTCAGTAGAAAGTACCCATAACTAGCAGCTGTTTTAAAGAGTACCTGACCTCCCTTTATATTAATAGAACAATAATGTCATTGTTAGCTAATGAATGTTTCCATGCTGAACAACGGCAACATGACAACGTTTCCATTGGTCCCTCTTCTTTAGAGAAGACCAGGAAATGATGGATACACGGATCGTGTTCAAATCAATAGGCACGCAATGACTCTAAATAATAATGATCACGCCACCAAACACACATTCAAACTAAAGGAACCAGCCTTGTTTGGAAAATGTGAGAAGTAGAAAGTACAGGTATTTGTGTTCAAAATGTGAGAAGTAGAAAGTACAGGTATTTGGGTTCAACATGTAAGAAGTAGAAAGTACAGGTATTTGTGTTCAACATGTAAGAAGTAGAAAGTTCAGGTATTTGTGTTCAAAATGTAAGAAGTAGAAAGTACAGGTATTTGTGTTCAAAATGTGAGAAGTAGAAAGTACAGGTATTTGGTTCAAATGTAGAAGTAGAAAGTTCAGGTATTTGTGTTCAAAATGTAAGAAGTAGAAAGTACAGGTATTTGTGTTCAAACTGTAAGAAGTAGAAAGTTCAGGTATTTGTGTTCAAAATGTAAGAAGTAAAAGTAAAAAGTCGTCAGAAAAATAAGTAGTGGAGTAAAGTACTGATACCAGAAAGATGTACTTAAGTACAGTAACAAAGTATTTGTACTCCACTACTTCCCACCTCTGATAAAGTATAAGAGTTTCTACAAGCCTCGACCAGTTTGTTTCATTGGAAGAGGAAATAAAAAGTAATTGAGGCATTCAGGGAACCGGTGAAACCCCGAGGTCTCAAACATTAATCATTTCCCAACGTCGTCACACCTCACTCCTCCTGTTGGCTTTGGTTTAAACTACAACCATGTTTGTTCTGTAGAGCAAATGTTTTCTGTAAAAGCATGGTGCAACACGTCTGAGTCATGACTTCTCACGCTTGGAAGAGTTTAAA